GAAAAGATATTACTGGATGAGTTGTTGTAATGTTCTTCTCCTTACCATCATTAATCTTCTTTTGAATTTATGAATAATCGAATTCACACTTCGTAAAAGTGCTACCGAACTGTTCATTCAGATAATGTCTAAAAGAAATGTAGTATATAAAAATCAGTTTCACTAATAATGTAAATGACACTATTCCTATATGGCTTATACCTCTCAATGTCAAATGTTTCAGCAATAAGTAAATGTTAGCGTATTTTACAAATATTCAGTACGAAAAAATAATTATTTTTTGATGATCATTAGTGTTTTTCATGTCTTCTTGATAAAAGACGTACAAATACAAAATCAATTTTTCACATGAGATCTTTCCATTGTTTTGTTAAACATGAATTAGCTGAAAGCGTTCATGCGTGCGTAATATTTTACTATTTTATTTTTATGTTTGTAGAGAAAAAACTTTTGTTTCTGGTTAAAGGCTAAACTACTTTAATTTTTTTTCTGTTTTTATAATCATTTATCACAAAAATACAGAAAATATCGATTTATATAAGAGAAATATACAGATTAGAAACAAAAAAAAAAAAAGAAGGATGGTGCGTGTTTGCGTGTTGTATAGACTGTTTTTTATTCCTCATTTACCGATTGAAACAGATTTTAGACAGACACAAAAGTTAGAAAATATGTCATTTAAAAAAACAGAATTTTCTATTGAATTACAATGTATGGAAATTTAAGTTGTGGTATTGTTAACAGCCCCCATTCTTGATATCATATTCAATTTTTATTTATCTCTTTTTTGATTATTTTTTTTTAGTACGTCCACCATTTCAAGATTTAAATCATCGTTTAAATGTTCGTCATTTACCATCAATTCAACCATTAACCAAAGGTGCCGGTCGTAATTTAGTTTTAAATTCTCTTAATCAATCAACAAATCAACGTAAAAAACAATTAGGAAAATATGGTGTTAGTGGTGGTGGAGGAGTTGAGTCGATATTTAAACCTCGTACAATTACCATAGTAAAACATGGAGAAAAACCAAGAAAAACAATAACAATTCTATTAAATAGAAGAACAGTACAAACATTTGATCAATTATTAAATGATATATCAGAAGCATTTGGATATCAAAAATTTAAAACTGATAGAGTAAATATTTCTTCAAATTTTTAAATATATTCTATAACGTTAATATTTTATTTTAGATTAAAAAATTATTTAATTTAAAAGGAAGACAAATTCATGGTATTAATGATTTTTTCAGAGAAGGTATGTAGCAGGTAGTATAAGAAGATAAGTTTTAAAAAATAAATTATTTGATTATTATTTTTTTTTGTTTTATTTTTATCGTTCTAGATGAATTATTTATTGCTTCAAATCAATCCGATATTTCACATACTGAATTACAAGATATTAATACAGAACTATTAGTGGGTGATCCATTAAAAGTTAAACAACAATTTAAACAAATACAAAACTTGACAACAACAAGTCCTACTACTGTCGGATTAAAACAGCCACATCAACAAAATGATCAACTACCACCATTAACAATTGATTTAAAAAAAATAAATGGTATTCGAGATAGTGGATTTACAGATGATGAAGATTTATCGGGTCGAGATTCGGATGTGACATCATCATTGAAAACGGGTCGATTAAATGCTTATGATACATTTAAAGGAACTAATCCTGCGACAATAAAAGAACCATCTGAAGATGTACCTACTCATGATGATCTTATCAGAAAATCAAAAAGTATGATATTGTACTAGAATGATTTGTCTTATTGTTCATAATAATACTTTTTATTTATAGAACTAACAAAATTGAATCAACAATCTATTGAATTAAAACGTGAAAAAGAACGTCAACGTTTACGCGACGAAGAAGATAAACGAAAACGTCTACTAGCATTAAATTTAAATAATACATCAACACCTAATGTCCTTGGAACAACTATTCGTCCAAATGCAAAATTTGAACCATTGACTGTTGATAATGTCAATAATTTGATAAATCAAATGGATGATACTGCACGATCAACGAAAAATAAAACACCAATTGGTACATTTTCTCCTCATTTCTATACTAATGCTGGTTCCAAGGCATCAAAACATGTAACAACACAAGGTGCTGTTCAT